TATTCTATTCTATTCTATTCTATTCTATTCTATTCTATTCTATTCTATTCTATTCTATTCTATTCTATTCTATTCTATTCTATTCTATTCTATTCTTCTGCACAGACTATCTTGGATCACATGCATTTAAAATGCAAGTGCCATGGCCTGTCTGGCAGTTGTGAGGTTAAAACGTGCTGGTGGGCCCAGCCAGACTTCCGGGCCATTGGTGACTACTTGAAGGACAAGTACGACAGTGCTTCAGAGATGGTGGTAGAGAAGCATCGGGAATCCCGTGGTTGGGTGGAGACACTGCGTGCCAAGTATGCCCTCTTCAAGCCACCAACAGAGCGTGACTTGGTCTATTATGAGAACTCACCCAACTTCTGTGAACCCAACCCTGAGACTGGCTCATTCGGCACAAGAGACAGGATGTGCAATGTGACTTCACATGGGATTGATGGGTGTGATTTGCTCTGCTGCGGCCGTGGCCATAACACTAGGACAGAGAAGAGGAAGGAGAAATGCCATTGCATCTTCCACTGGTGCTGTTATGTCAGCTGCCAGGAATGCATTCGTGTTTATGATGTTCATACCTGCAAATAAAAAAAGGTATGTGTGGGGTGAAGCACTGCCTATAACAAAATAGATTTTTTTTGTTGCAACAGTGGCTAAAGAGTATGAGATGGGAAGTCTCCAGTCTGAAGCTCACTTCCATCCTAGGCAACCTTAAGTAGCATGCAGTGTGGTCATAGTATCTGCCTCACTCATGAAGACTTGTAAAGACTCCTGTGCTGCCATTACATGAAATGCTCAGGAAACACAATAAGCTCTGCAAGAGCACTCATTATTAAATAAAATCTTGCATGAATTTAATGCAATGAATTTAGACGTTTCCATAACATAAGGTTATAGAAGACTTAACTCCTTCCCAAATTGTTAGAATTAGCTATAGTTTCTCATACAGAAGTATGCAAAGTGGTGTCATAAATGTTGGGGATAGTTGCTCGGCAAAGGACAGAGGACACTGGAATTTGAAAAGAGTGTGTATTTTCCAAAACTGATTGTGGGTATGTCGCTATCAGAATAGCTATATTTCACACAACTCATAAGAACAGAGAATTAGCAGCCAAGAGTGCAGCAAGCAAGATATGAGAGGCTGAGTCATATGGGGCGAACAACTAAGGCTATGTGTGAAATACAGAAGGAAATAATTCTGTGAGGACTGAATAGAACTAACACTGTTTAGGAAAACACATTCCAGATATAAACACTTCTTAGTTAGATTGATGAGAATAGAGAAATAACAGCTTTCTCAATCCTGATAACCTTTCAGATACATTTGCCTGTAAGCCCCGTAATTCCAATCCAGTACTTGTGCTGTTTGGTACTTTATGTCTGGCACTCACCAATGTCAGGGAAAACTAAATTACTGTACGAGCAAAAGGACAAAACAGAAAGCTGTTCTTCTACATGGCAGAGCTATCAAAATTGGGGTCCTATCACCATTCAGTCTCCTGACTTTTTGAGGAGATCTAAATGTCAGACTGCCTAAACCATTTGTTTCATGACTTCAGATCAGAAGGGTGGAGACTCATTAAGTATGTAAAGTCATAAATCAAGCTTGAATAAGAGTCTGAAGAACTTGAACACCTGCCCATTATTTTATGCTACTTAGCTTGTCATAATGAGCATTTTAACACATTATGAATTTTCAACTTTGAACAATGGACAGCACAGATGATTAGTTAGAGAACATTTAATGCAATGTTTTAATTTGAATGAACAAACAAGTTTGCAAGGGCAATACTCTGCTTCCATAAAAAGTGTGAAATGGCTCTCAACAGGGCACAATACTGTCACAATTGGATCAACTATATAGTTTAAAAAAAAATAAATCAAGCATGAGTGTCAGTGAGATTCTTCAACGATGGAGGTAGAATTCTTTTCCCAACATGTGGATTCCCTGTTTGAGATCCCTAAACATCACTCCAAAACGTTGGGGGCAATTTTGAGCAGAGACAAAGTACAGGGTCAATAGGTTAACCTGTTCCTCCCAAAGTCATTCGTATTTCTGCCTCACCTTGTGAAGGCTTTTAACTTAAAGAAAACCCAATCCATTCATGGATGAGAGAAGCACAGTTTAGATAAGGAAAGGCCTAGGAAAGTTCATAATGTAACAACAACAAATAATGGTGATCATTTATACCATTTGCTTGTTACTTTTCTGTGGAAAGAGGCCTGTGGTACAGCTGGAGCATAAAGTGAAAGGGAGAGACTGTCTGGAAACACTACAGTTGCAGTTCCTGACTCTGGACAATGGAGAAGAGAAAAAGAGAGCACCCCCCAGCTTCCTTCTCAACTAAGGCAGGCAATGGTGAAAGAAACCCCCTTCTTGAAATCAAGTCAACCAGACTTCCTCGGACAGTCTACTTATCAACACCTGCCTTCTTCCTTCTTGAACAGGTAGCATTATGGCGGCTGACACTGAGTCCTGATGTTCCTGAGGTGGCGCTCCCAGTTTTCTAAGGTTGTTTGTTTTGCACATATCAGAATATATTTGTTTTAAAACCCCTGAGAAAGGAGCAAGGGTGTTGCAACTGTGACAGAGGCTCATTATAGCTGTTCATGGTAGTAACTGATGTGGAAAATGCAGAGGAATAAGAGCCAAGGTCAAGAAAATGTGAAGTACCTCAAATGATAGCAGGCAGTTCTTCCTAAACATTTCATCAAATGCAGTTGTCTAATGTGAGCCTTCCCTCCATTTCCAAATACATATTCCTGTATCCAAGTTTTTTTTTAAAAAAATTGCAACATAGCATTGATTTTGGAGTTGGAATGACAGAGAGCATTTTGGTGTTTTTGTTTTGTTTTTCCAACTGACCAGGGTTTTCCTGAACACAAGAAAAGATTTCCTTCATACTTAACTTTCAGTCCCTTGATCAACAGTGATCCATCATACACAAACACACATCCTATTATACACACACACCATTTTTAATACATTAGAACCCCAGAATACAGAAGCAGAGACTAGAGGAAGGGAAAGTGAGACTGAAATACCAGCAGCCAGCTTCTGCTTCAAAATCTAAGCTTCTGTCTAAACCTGCTTGAAAATGCTATAAGATTGGGTTAACAGAAGAAAGAAGAACAAAAGATCTGTTGCAAATCCATGAGGGGCATGTTCTTTTGTTCTGTTCTAACTAACCAAGCTATTTGCCATTCTTGCTTCCCCCTCCAATGGTTCAGGTGAGCCATTCTCCCTCCTCACCGAAGCCCCAAGTATTTTTATCTCCATAGACCAGTGTTTCTCAACCTTGTCAACTTTAAGATGTGTGGACTTCAACTCCCAGAATTCCCCAGCCAGCTGCTGGCTGGGGAATTCTGGAAGTTGAAGTCCACACATCTTAAAGTTGCCAAGGTTGAGAAACATTGCCATAGACACTCAAAATGTCATGGTCTCCTTCCAAAAAACTGCAGTGGCACCACTAAGTCAAACCATGACATTTTGAGTGTCTATGGCAATGTTTCTCAACCTTGGCAACTTTAAGATGTGTGGACTTCAACTCCCAACCATGACATTTTGAGTGTCTATGGCAATGTTTCTCAACCTTGGCAACTTTAAGATGTGTGGACTTCAACTCCCAGAATTCCCCAGCCAGCTGCTGGCTGGGGAATTCTGGAAGTTGAAGTCCACACATCTTAAAGTTGCCAAGGTTGAGAAACATTGCCATAGACACTCAAAATGTCATGGTTCCTGGAGAACAATGAACAATGTTGATACTTCTTCCCTTTTATTTTTATTTACAAACCTATGTATTTCTGGGTACCTAGAGGGTCCAACTACCTTGTTTTGGGGTGTTCTAATTCCTTTATACAGAGTCAATAAGACTTTCTGAGATTGGCTATCTGCCCCTCCTGTCAATATCCCTCCTTTTCCACTGAATGGATTTAAGTGCTGCCTGCTGGCTTCAGGACACATTTTTCCTGCTCTCCTTGAAACTTTAATAGTTTTAAGTTTATTCTTACCTTGATCTCTCTCACACACAGTTTTGGTTCTGGCTCCTTCCAAAAAACTGCAGTGGCACCACTAAGTCAACCTATCTAAAATTGAATCAATGGTTTGAACTCAACTGAAAAATTTGAGAATGATTGTTGCTAATAAATCATGCCTTGTGAGTCACTTCCTTGTGAGTTGGGCAGTGACCAAATCTGAAATATAAATAAATAAAAATAAAGGTAGATTTTCCTCTAATGTGCTCTAAAATATTTAAGATATGCAGTTAGCATCTGCTTCATCTTATAATTTCTTTCCCTCTGATCTAAACTGATAACAGCCCCTTGCTTCATTCGAATTTGCCATTTACACCCCTTGTGCATAATTAATGCTGTCTTCTTAAGCCTTCCCAAATTGTCCCACTTTGAACTCCAGAGATGTAAGAATCTGATTCCAAATGAAAAAGTTGGAATAGACTAGTACTGATTTTTTTCATTTTTGGAAATAGCACAATTTGTGGATAAAAGACAGTCTAACTGATCTTACATGGGACCATGTCATAGTGACCGCACACGCTAAAAATTCTTACTGGCTTATCTCCCAAGTGACTCCCTATAGTGTGATTGAGTACATCGCTACCTGTGCCATATGGTTTAGCCAGCCAGTATCAGTCAAAAGCAAGCTAACGCATATCTGAAACCCTATCATCCACTTGATAGAAACTTTTCCACTGTTAGCATAGGCCAGTGTTTCTCAACCTCAGCAACTTTAAGATGTGTGGACTTCAACTCCCAGAATTCCTCAGCCAGCATAAAATTCTAGGGGTTGAAGTTCACACATCTCAAAGTTGTTGAGGCTGAGAAACACTGCCATAGACTGCTGCACGACCACCATGGAGCCTCTTTCTGTAGGTTGATCCTTGCTTACAAAAAACAAAAGAAAACAAAAAATATTAAATTCTAATCCCACTATAACTATAGTATAGAAATATTAACTAACATTGATGTTAATCAGTAACAGTTAACAAAATTCAAACTCTAACAAGAGGAACTCTTACTACCATCAGTTTTGACATCAGTACTTATAAGCACAGTTAAAAGATTCTATCATCAAATGGAAATATATTCCACTAGAATAGCAGGAAGAAGCTTATAGTCAACTCAACCTGCTTTTGATCTCTCAGTGTAGCTTAAAAATGTATCCTTTGAGTCGAGTTCAATTTCTGACCTCTCCATGGAACTTTCTTGGCAACAATATGGAAGTAATTTGCCACTGCTCTCTTCCTGGATTTCTTTTTAAACTTCCAGCAGGATTTTCTGGTAATTTCCTATCCAAGTACTAACCGGATCCAATCTTGTTTAGTTTTTTTGAGATCAGCCAAAGTCAGTGAGATGCTATCATCTAACTGGACTTCAGTGTGTTTAAGAAACCTCTAATACCAAGCATTTGTAGAAGGAGCTAGAGCAGAAATATGCATTCCAATAAATCGTATACACCAGTCATCATTCGGGAAACACTGAAAATTGATTTCAAAATGCACTTGCTGCATTTCAAGGGAATTATTTTCCAAATTTTTGCCACATTTAGAATATATGTTTACTGTCACATTAAAAATTGACTTAAAAATAAGGAATTCACTTAAAAAAATAAATAAGGAGTATATATTCCTTATTAGACTATAGTGACTTTGTCATTTTTTCTTGCTGTAGATATTCTAGGACTGAAAGAGGGTATAGTTGCAAGAAAGAAAGCCCCATAGTCTGTTTCCTTTCCCCTCAAGCTGCTGTATCCAAAGTTTTTTATCAAGCAGCAGAATAGATTTTCTGCAACCTGATGCTTCTTTAAATGAGTTGAACCACAACTCCCAAGATCTTTAAACAGCACAGCTCAATTGACCAGGGATAATGGGAGTTATCAAACACATCTAGAGGGACACCAGGTGGGAAAAGCAGCTCTAGTGGGTATTCATCCTTTAAAAAAAAAAAAAAAGTTGTATTCTGAAAATGCTGTTTTTATAATTATTTATTATACAATGTATATACCTTTGAGTTAACTAAGATTATATATTATATAAATATATATATATAGATATATAGATATATAGATATATTTGAAGAAAAATATATTTCATCTCTCCTTGGTTCTCATGTCAATAAAGGTACAAAGGCACTTAAAACAAATGGTCTTTTTAATATTTTCATACTGTTGCCGTGGAAGGCGTGGGTGTAATCAGCTATTATGTAGATGAGATGCTGGCTGCCTATGGTTTTTGAAATCAGTAGCATGCTGTTGTTATTTTTCTGTGTTAGAAAAAGTATCTGAAAAAGCGCAGTTGGGATCCACAAATTACAGCAGGAGGAAATCACATTCAAAAATTTGTGCAATTTAAGAGTGATTTCCTTCCCATTCTTTTTTAATGCTAAGAATTTCAACTTGTAAAATATATATAGTAGTGATTCTAGGACTTCAGGATTGGCACAAATTTTAGGTAGGAATTTCATGTTTGCTCTTACCTGGTTGACTAACCACTAATTTTTGTATGTATCTCAGTAATCTTGACCTTGAGGATATACCCACCTAGTCCAATGGGGCCCCAGCCAACCTTGGCCAGAAGTTAAACCTTGTGAAACTTTTGTTTTCTTGTGCCTAGCACCCAACTCCATCACAGCCCAAAGGTATCCCCTAATATGTATTAGTCTATGAGCTGCTGAAGAAAGCTTATTCCTTTGAAACTGACATTTTTGTGCAAGTCTTTCAAGAGAGCTACTAATTCACTTGTCGTGTCATCTCAATTCAGAAACCAACGATACATTTTAAACATCTGTGCCTTTTTTATTGCATCCTGCATTTTAACCATACAATCAATCTTTTTAAATATATATATATATATTTGTATTTTTCTTTCTCAGTATAGCTTTGGACAAAAAAAAACACAATAAAAATGTTTATATCATTTGATCCAAGACAATACAATATGTATGCTTTGCTTTCAGTGAAAAATGGGGGGAAAGAAGGGGGAAAGGTATTGGGTTTGGGTCTGGGAGGGCAGCAGAGAGAAAAGTTCAGCTGAAAGCAGTTCAATCATAGCACCTACAAAAAGTGGGACTCTTACATGTCCACCAGTCATTCATATAATCCTCCACAGCATAAAATAAATAAATACGAGTCAGAGACAATGCTAATACACAGTAAAAGAAATATCCATTATGGTTCAAGTACACTACAGCAGTTTCTAATACTGCAGTCTGTCTTTTCCTGCACAAGGTTGGAAGATGTCAAGTGCTGTTTTCATTGTTCCAAATTTAGCAACTTGGAGAAACAGGGAAAGGAAACTGTGCCAATAATGGAAAAAGATTTAGCAAGAGTAGCCCAGCCACTTTTGTTGAATGTGGGTAAGTGGATTTAATTTTTAGGGCCATGCAATGCACAGCTTTTCCTAAAAAGAGCTTAAGAGCTGATAAGTATTTCATGGCAAGAGGGAATGACATCCATGCATTTGGTTTCCTTCTCTTTCTGGTTATTTAGAACAGGGTTCCTCAACCTTGGCAACTCTAAGACGGGTGGACTTCAACTCCCAGAATTCCCCAGCCACCAAGGCTGACTGG